TGTGACTAAAATCAACCAGTTCCGTGAGCATCCTGATCACCAGTGTTTTGAACTGTGCATCTGAAAGTTTTGCTATTTCTTCGTTGCTTAGAGTTATGGGGTCTGGGGCTTTGAGTTGTTCTTGAGCCATGCTTTGATCTGTTGGTTCCTGTTACATATAAAGAGCAGAGCCTTAGTTGTTCATCAGGGTGGGGCCACCCAAGTTGCTAGTTTGTGATGCTGTATGTGGGGGTGGGGCCAGAGAGGGACAATGACGGTTCCCTCTGCTGCTTCCTGCCGCTGGGGCCTGCTCCGTCTGTCTCACTGCTCACTCCTTCACTGGTTTATCTGCACATGAATGTGTGACCGCGATCAGCCCTCAGTGGGTCCACCTCCTTGCGCCCTCAGTGGGTTCAATACCTTGCACCCTCAGTGGGTCCGCCCGCTTCTCCACACCTGGGATCCACCCATGGCTGCTGGCACACCTGGGTTGTGGGCCCGGGTCGGTCCAGTGGATCTTTCCTGCCTGACCCTGCTCTGTTGCTGGCTCTGCCCCTCTTACTGGTTTGGCTGAAGGGTTCGTTGTTGTCAGACTTCCATGAAGTTCAATTTTCTGTGGTTTGGCTGCGTTTTTGTTGTTAAAACTTTGTTGTTTTTAAACTTAGTTGTGCAAGAAGGCGCAATGCTTCCACCTACGCCTCCATCTTGGCGGAAGTAAAAAAAAAACACATTATTTTTGAAGTGTCACTTCTACTGAAGGAGCTTCCACAGGTGAATAAAATGACAACAGTGGCACTTAACTTTGTACCAGAAACTGTTTGCAGTTTTACATGTGTATTAATAATACATTTGGTCTCTGTTGGGAGCTGGCTAGCAACTGTCCCTTGACAAGGTCAGGACGGTTGAGATGCATCTGCAAGGCAGAGGCAACTGTGGCTAGATTTCCTGTCTATCTCTCCTTACATGTTTGTTTTGGTGATCAAAAGGTGGTGGGGTTGTTAGACACCTGTATTTCAGGTTCATTGATTCGCATAATTCCAATGTTGTACAAAATAATTTCTTGACCAGAGAACAAAGTCCCTGTATGTCTAAAAGTTGTTGGAGTAACAGCCTCTCCTTTACCTTGAATAGAAATATATATCAATTAGACAGCCAAAGAAACAGGAGAAGCTTGTTAGCTACTACAAACTAAGCACGTAGAAACAATTACCAAGGAGTTAGAGTCCATAGTACATAGAGAAACATTTTAGACAGAAAAGGATAGATAGCTAAGTTAGACATCACAAAGGCCTTATAATAAATTTCCTATTACCTCTACTCAATCTAGCGTATCCTTTTGCCCCATGACAAATTCTGAGAAACTTTAATAAACATTAAGACATTCAAATTCTGTACATACAGCTACTTCTAATTGTCTGATTTATGGCTCTCCTGGTCAAAATAATCTTTGTTTAATATAACTGAATCTATGGGAGTTTTCGTACTTTTCCTGGTTACCTTTGTATTGATTTTTTCTGCTTAACTGATCATGCTATGCTGCAAATGTTAATCACTACCTAAAATGAAAATATAAAAACCTGCTTGTACTTGCAATAAACGGAACAGAGCTTCACTATCCTTTGAGGCGTGTTGTCTGTTACCCATCCCCAATGCCTTACCCACCTTTCAGGAACCCCTAGACCCTGCTGTGGCACACCCTCTCCCACCCACATTTCCCCCTTTAGTTCATGTCCATGTGTCATACTTATAAGTTCTTTAGCTTCTACATTTCCCATACTATTCTTGCCCTCCCACTATTTTCTACCTACCACTTTTGTTACTTATTCTCTGTACCTTCCCCCCTCTCTTCTCCTCCCACTCCCCTGTGATCTCCATTTCTGTGGTTCTGTTCCTGTTCTAGTTGTTTGCTTAATTTGCTTTTGTTTTGTTTTAGGTGTGGTTGTTAATAATTGTGAGTTTGCTGTCATTTTACTGTACATATTTTTGATCTTTTTCTTAGTTAAGTCCTTTAACATTTCATATAATAAGGGCTTGGTGATGATGAACTCCTTTAACTTGACCTTGTGTGAGAAGCACTTTATCTGTTCTTTCATTCTAAATGAAAACTTTGCTGGATAGAGCAATCTTGGATATAGGTCCTTGCCTTTCATGACTTTGAATACTTCTTTCTAGCCCCTCTGGCCTGTAAGGTCTCTTTTGAGAAGTCAGCTGAGTCTGATGGGAACTCCTTTGTAGGTAACTGTCTCCTTTTCTCTTGCTGCTTCTAGGATTCTCTCCTTCATTTGAATCTTGGCTAATGTAATTATGCTGTGCCTTGGTGTGTTCCTCCTTGGGTCCAACTTCTTTGGGACTCTCTGAGCTTCCTGGATTTCCTGGAAGTCTATTTCCTTTGCCAGATTGGGGAAGTTCTCCTTTATTATTTGTTCAAATAAGTTTTCCACTTGTTGCTTTTCCTGTTCCCCTTTTGGTACCCTTATGATTTGGATGTTGTAACATTTAAAGATGTCCTGGAGGTTCCTAAGCCTCTCCTCATTTTTTTGAATTCTTGTTTCTTCATTCTTTTCTGTTTGGTTGTTTCTTCCTTCCTTCTGGTCCACTCTACTGATCTGGGTCCCAGTTTCCTTCCCACAACTATTGATTCCCTGTACATTTTCCTTTATTTCACTTAGCATAGCCTTCATTTTTTCATCTAATTTGTAACCAAATTGAACCAATACTGTGAGCATCCTGATCACCAGTGCTTTGAACTGTGCATCTGATAGGTTGGCTATCTCTTGGTCACTTAGTTGTATTATTTCTGGAGCTTCAATCTGTTCTTTCATTTGGGTCATTTTTTTTTGTCTTGACATGCCTGTTATGTATAAGGGGCAGAGCCTTAGGTGTTCACCAGGGCGGGCAACCCAGTTGCTGGGTTGTGACGCTGTATGCGGGCAGAGGTCTGAGAGGGAACAATGGCACTTGCTCTACTCTCTGCTGGATTTCACTCACTTTTGCTGTTTCCTGCAAGCAAAGTGGGCCCTTCTGGTGCTGATTCCCATGTGGGTGGACTTGTTAGATCTTGGGATCCTGTGGATCTCTCCAATAAACGTTCCTGTGAGGCTGGGAGTCTCTCCTGCCACCTCAACCCCTACAGGTATTTTCAATAGGTGTTTTGAGGCTTTATTTCCCTGCGCTGGAACCCTGAGTTGCGCAGTTTATCTCGCTCCCCAGTTTGGCCTGGTTTATCTGTGCATGGTTGTGGGACCACCCTGTCCGCCAGCTGCCCCGTGGCCTATCCCTTTCCGCAATCTGCCACCTTGCTGGGTTGAACCGCTGCTGTCTTGCGCCACCACCCGTGCACCCTGGGTCTGCCAGCCACTGCCTTTTTTTTTTTTTTCATGACACCTCTCTGCCCAGCTGCCCATCTCCACCCCTCTTACCAGTCTGGATGAATGTATCTACTTTAACTCCTCAGTTGTTGAACTTCCATACAGTGCAATTTTCTGTCAGTACTGGTTGTTTTTTGTTTCTAAATTTTTGTTGTCCTTATTTTGGTTGTGCAAGGAGGCACAGTGTGTCTGTCTACCTACGCCTCCATCTTGGCCGAAAGTGGAAAAAAGTTTTAACATCAATGGAAATGTCATGTTTCTGACTTACAGTGGTCTACAGGTAGTGATCACACATCCACATCCTCAGTCTTCTGATGTAATTACAGCCAACCACTCACACACTGAAATGCAAATGATTACAAATCACTTCCTCTCATTTCTATTCTATATGATAATTCAATTATTATATACATCTCAATTATCTGTGGAGACAGTAATTTCACTTCAGAATAGTAAAGGGGACATTTTTTAGGAAAAAGTAATTGGTTTCATGGGGTAAATTTACTCAGGTGCCAGCCGTAATACACAGCAACTTGCACAAATGGAAAGATAACTAGCTCAAGATGACAAATGTGCCCCCAATACACTAGTAAAATAAAATTAACACTGTTTAACCAAATATTAAGAAAAACCTGTTCAATGCCTAACTCTTGCATCAGTACTCCAAATGTCACAGCTGTTCTTTGGGCTGGAACTTTCAGATGGCTGTGCAGATGAGTTCTCGTTCCAGGTGGGAGGAGATCGGCTGCTCTGTCCCCGTCCCTCCTCTTCTACCCTGAGGCTGATGTGTGACGGAAACAGCTTGGTGAGGTGGTGGACCGGCAGCTTCGCTGAGGAAAAGCAGTGCATTACCACCACCCTCCACATTTCATTTACATATTGTCACGGTGTCTAAAATAACTCAACATTTTAAATATTTTCTCTCTTCACTTGAATGCCAAATATCTGATTCGCTTTTTATACGTACAACCTTTTAAAAAGGTCAAAAAGCTGCTAATATAGGTCATTGCCCATGATAAGCACATTCAAATAGTCACATCTTTGTATTCATATTTATATAATTAATTTTTCAGTTGAAAGTTGTGAAAAAATATATTAAAAAAGGAAAACTTAGAGATTTGATTAATAGTAGTCAATATGAATGCATACAGAATTCTATTTTTTAAAAACATTCTCTTAGGTGTCTACATTCCTTCAAGTTTCAGATGGGCCCTGGCTGGTTGCGGGCCAGTTCCCAGCAGGAGATGCACGAGAGGCAACCGTACATTGATGTTTCTCTCCCTCTCCTTCCCTTCCCCTCTAAAGATAAATAAATAAATAAATCTTTTAAAAATACTGCAAAACCACTGGACATAGTTTCTGGCCTTTAAAAAAAAAAGGTTCAGATTGGCCAACTCTGAAACTGCAGAAGTGGGGGTTAAGATGTAAAGATTTTTAGTTTTTTAAATTCTCAGCAACAGCTCTTTTATGGAAAAACTCAAATGATCTTGTGGTCCATAAACTGTTACAAGATAACCTCCACTAAAAGTGAATGAGTTGGATTAAGATTTAAGTATTTTTTCACACTTAACATGTTTCCTGGTAATAAACTTAAAATTTTCTTATTACCAAATGAAAGAGCATTTAAATATTTTTTCAAATGAAACAACAGCATTCATTTGACAATGAGTTTATTAACATCAAGTTTAAGGCTATACATAAAACTGCAATAATGACAATTCAAATGAAGTAAACAGAATAAACCATTTATTAAAAACACTGCGTAATAAAATAAATTTTTTTGATCCAATGCTATAGTGGTAAACATTTTCTGCTCATTAACAGTCCACCTAAAATACTGTTAAATTATATCATAATCTAAAACTTGAGAATACTTCTCTGCCCTTTACCACTGAATAAGTGACAGTGGACTGTGCAAATCTAGGGTTTTTTTTTGATGAGTCAAGGATAGAGGACAATAACCTAAAAGACAATCAAAATTCCCTATGGCCAAAGATTAAACTGTATTTACTCTGCCCACTGGCCCAAACTTAGAATTGTCATATCAAATAAATATTTCATGAACCATTCCCTTCCCTGCCTAAAATAAATATCAGGAACAAATTAAGGATAAAAGTTGGGTTTTAAACTGCACTTTATTTGTTACTGTAACATTATCTTTTTTTAACTGATCGACCATAAGCATGGAAAAAGTTCTCTTCTGAATGGAACCGCTTCCAAACCCCCTGGATACGAGTAAGTAAATTATAAAGATCACTCAATTTGTAGTTCTCTCCTCCTTTATAGCACTTCTAAGCAATGTGACAGACACCACAGAGACAGGAAAGACCATCTTTAATAAATTATCTCCTTAATTGTAGAGAATTTCAGAAAATAAAACGGACAAAATGCTAACCAATTCTTCTGATGAATCCGCAGAGACCAAAGATCCATCACCTTCTGTTGGAAGAACTAGTCCCCTGAGTGTCCTCGCCTTTGTAGGGCACTTGATAAGGGGACCCCCCAGGGCTCTGGACAACTGCACTCGGAGGGCCTTCCACCATTTTCATTTGCCGATTCGTTGGACTACCCAGTCTTGCTGGCAGAGAGGGCAGCGATTGTTCTGTTTCACCCACAGGGACATGCAGCAGTTGTGAAAGGAATGATTACATTCTCCCCAGACCACTAAAAGAAAAAAATGATTTGACATTACTCATTGCAATTTAAATTACTGAGCTCAAACACATTGCTTACTTTGCATTATGAATACTCATCATGGCTCATAATCTCAAATAAAGATGGTAAATTGGTCAAAAATATTTTTTTCCACCTATAAAGAAATAAAAGCTTACGCATGTAAAGTCTGTGCTTAGAGGACTTTCCATTACTGTCCTAGGGCCTGGATGCAGTGGTGGCCCCCAGTTCCTACGCAGCTCCATACGCTGCCTCCCTGAAATCAGGAGATTAAAGGACGTGAGCCTTCCTGCGGTGCCAGACCTTCTCAGTCACACATGCACTGACCTCAGAGACACTGTGGGCTGTGTTTCACTAAAAAATGTCCTCCCAGTTTCTATCCACCAAGACAAGTTTTAAATGTTTTCAATTCGTGGTAGACTATTATAAATAGATGACATGCTTCTAAATATTATCCACTGTAAATCTGAGTTGTTTCTTAGAAGTGGTGATAAGCTGTGTTAAATCATCAATAAGCTGTGCAATTCTCCATATGATAAACAGAATGAAATTTTCAAAGTGGCTGTCTGGAAAGAAAGGTCTCTTTGTAATCAAAGAAAGCTGGCCTACACCTCAAAATTCCCAAGTTAATATTTTTTAAATAAACAACATGAAAGAAAAATTTGGAACCAAAGGAAATCACCCATAATCTGGACTCTAAACTCAAATGTAAACTTCATTTGTCCCTTGCTTGACCAACTGAGCTATATGGCAACAGAACAACACAAGAAGTAGGAATTGAAGAGAAAAAATCTTCTTATGAAAACAGACAGTAGGGGCTAGAAAGCAAGGGGAAATCATTGTAATGTTTCAGGAGGAAGAAAGAGAATTTGATCAAACCAGCACACATCATTAAGAAGAAGGAAGTTACATGTAACCACACTGGCACAAAGTTAGCCTTTCTTTTCTTTTTGTTGTCTTTCACTGTTCATACTCTTACAGTTGTCCCGCTTTTTCTCCCTTTGCTCACCTCCCCCCCGCCCCTCCACAAAGTTAGCCTTTCACTGCAGGAAAAGGTTTAAACACTTTTGTATAGCAATCTGGAAGTGATGGCTTTGAGAACTAGGACATACAAACCTCTGAACTGCTTAAAACATTTCGCCTAAGACAAATTCTTAGTCCTAAGCTATGAGGAAAATGTAATAGGTTTCTATACACACTGCATTCCCAAAAGAGACAATTTTTCCTATGTTAGTTGACAAGTTAAACATTGTATCATAAGAGTACTGAAAACTGAAATGCTTTATTAGAATGAAACCCTACCAAAACTGCCCTAAACATATTCAAAATTTACATAATATTTTGGCAAATTCCTCTTATATAATTTTCCTAATAGAAGATAATTACTCATTTTTTTTGAGTATCAAAATGTTTACTATGCCCATGTCTGAAATACTAATATAGCCAATTCTTCTTCATTATAGGCAATAAAAAAGCCTTGGAGATTAATTCCATTAAGGCCTTTTGAGAACATTTTATATCAATAATAGATCAATGCTTTACAGTTTATTTTTGTATATTGATAAAATCCATCTTAATAGCAAATTCAAACATCCCCACTGAGAGAAAGCCTTCAGTTAAAAAAGCAAGAGAACTGAATTACAACATACCAACACAGTCCTCTTGTTTGTTTTCAGCTTGACATCTAAGGCAGGCATCTGAAAGTAAACAAACAGCAACTCTCAGTCTGATGCTCAGAATGCAATTTTAAAACCCAGACACTTCAAAGTCCAATAAAAGCCCAAAGGCTTAGAGATGGAGACAAAAGACTCATAGTATTAATATCTCAGCTGAACATAACTGTTGAAAGAGGAATAAAGTCAAAGGCACTCTATTCACTTACGATAAGGAGCAATTTTACAAGGGTTACCGACCCTCTATTGTTACAAGCTCTGATGAAAAGCCATCCTGACAGTGGCTGCAAGCACTGGAGACACATGCGCCACACTCACTCCGCTGTATCAGAAGTTGTCATAAGCTCACTGGGCATGCTCACATAGCTCAAGATGAGGGGTGACTTATTTTCAAGACATCCTTTTAAATAAGCTATGCACACAGGGATATAAAGTACAACATAAGGAACAGTCAATATTATAATAACTATATATGATGCCAGGTGGGTACTGGAAATATAGGAGGGAACACTTTGTAAAGTATATGATTATCTAATTACTATATGGCTGTACATCTGAAACTAGTACAAAAAAGTGTTGAAATGTAAACTGTACTGAATAAATACAATTTAAAAATTAAATAAGCTATGCATATATATTGGCATTTACTTATATATACATACAGAAGCTCTAGAAGGATATTCAAGATACTAATAATAAAGTTTACCTGGGAGGTGATTGAATGGGAAGGAATTTTCATTGTATATTGTCTTAAACTGTTGAATTATGTGACTGAATAATCTCTGTGAAAATTAATATTAATTAAAAATACTTTATAAAAACTAGGGTTTTTTTTCTTTCCAAGAAAATGCTCCCTTTACAAAATAAATCTGAGCCCAAAGCATTTACCTAACAATGGCAAAGTATTTTAATAAATTACTTGGGAGTAAATACTACAAATGGGAATCTCAAGTATACCACGCTGCTTGATGAAGGAGGTAATATGGATTATATCGGGAACTAATGAAGTGGATTCATTCACGAGCTGGAAGAGGGGTCAAAGTTGATAAGAGGAACTGCAAACCAACAGAAAAAAGTTTTTAACATAAACTGGAGAAAAATAATTCTGTAAAAATAGACACATGGTGGAGCTGAAGCCTGCTTCTCTCTTACACTGGATTCTGTGCAGGCATTTGTTTCTCTCTGTGTGTTTTTACCTAAAAAAAACACACCACCCTGGCCTCTTCCGTGTGGACTAAAGACAGCCACTGCCTCCTACAACTTTCTGCAATTCCACAATTACTGAGCATCTCCTCTGTGGAAGGAGCTCTGCACTGGGGACACTGGCTCTGGGTCCCTGGTCTCTCCGGTGAGTGGGGAGACAGACAGGGAAACAACTAAGTATCATAAGGATCATGATGTAACAGTGAAGATAATAAGCCTCTGGTTCTGCACAATCACAGAATTACGTGTTTGTGGTCCCAAGCACCTCTTTTACTAACTAGGAAAAGAAGGCCCCAAAAGGTGGTGTCAAATGGCCGAGTCAACACAGAGCCGGGAAGGGTTACTCTGGCTCTTCAGAACGTGGCAGTACAAGCCAAACCATCCTCTCTGCCTCGGCAGCGCTTGCTCCTTTCAGAAAGAAGGGAGGAGAGTGGAAACCAAGAGTGTTAACCACATCAGAACGGGTTGACAGGCAACTCTTGGACTAAGAAGTAAGTCATGGTAAATCAGTTGGTACAAGATGAATTCCAAATATTAGGGGAATAGTATTAAGTGGGCTCTTTTTGTAGAATCTAGAAATCTCTGAATTATGCTTATAACTTTGATTTAGATGATCAAAAACTGACCTAAGTAGATAAAAATCCCCAAAGTTTCAGATGTAAGAAAAAAGTTTCTTTTGATGGCATTTCTAGTATCTGAGAGAGCACATTTCTAAGGAGAACAATAACACTTACCACCTTTTAGAATGATGCTAGGGTTAAAGACTGGAAAGTCTGAAAAACAAACTTTCTTCTGCTGTCACCTGACCACTGAGTGGATTTTAACACCTCATAACCAAATACAAAGGTCTAGTCCAGAACACTTTCCAGAACTGAAAGTATAGCTGTTGTAAACCTGCAATGTAAACCCACAGTAGCAGAATACTTTTACTATAATTAGAAAGTCAATGTGAATGGAAGCCATTTATAGCCCATACTTTGACTTACTTTAAATACCCCAAGTAAAGTTTATTTGTTGAAAGGTTTCAACCATTACTTTAAATTCTACATTTCTCCTTACTAGTTTAAATTTTCTTTTTGTGGAGAAAAGTAAAATCCCATTTCTTGAACATTCTTCTTTTTGAACTAATGTAAATTTGGGGGACAAATTTTTTTAGCAAAACCTGTTTTGCTTAAGAACAAAAAATAAAGTCACCTGTATACGCTAAAAATGCCACCCAAACTGGAAAATACGATTCTAGAAGCTAAGTAAGGGGCAGGGTAAGTGATGAGGGGACTGTACTGCAGGCCAATAAACTAGGTACTTTAAAAATCTAATATGCAAAATAAGTGGATCATGTCTGAAATCAAGCTGTTTGCAAAGTAAAAAATAAAAAATGCTTGAACCCCATTATTGTAAGCCCTCTCTGAAACAAGTCCTTAAGAATAAAAAACAGGAGAGCATACTAAAGAGCATGTAGATTGAGAAACATCTTGATTCTGACAGACTTCGAGGTTCATCCCTTGAGAAGACAGCGAGTCTCTGAAAGTTTTCTTCAATTTTCTCGTTTTTCAGGGCAAGACACTACAGTTTCAAATTATAGAAACCTCAGTTTTATTCACCTACCCTCAAAAAACATGTAAAAAGCTCTCACAGTCGTTTTTAAATGCCCTATTTTAAAATATAACTCGCATTTAAACAGGTTTTCCAAGGTGGCCTGAGGTCTTAAAACAGAAACCATATAAAACAAAAGAGGATGAAGATGTTCTAAAAGCTTTCATTGGCCCCTATTTTTATTCAAAATATCGTAAAAAGGAGTAAGACTTATTTGTAAGAGTGGCCTGTTCCCAAAGGCCTGACTCAGAGCCGGGCAGTCTCTTTTCCAGGAAATGACATCCTATGACAGGCAGGGGCCAAGGAAGAGGACTAGGTTTTGTGTTTCTAAGTAAAGGGCTCACCTTACTGAATTCTCGCACAACTTCAAAATTCTTGAACCACGCTGCACCCCCTCCCAGCCCAGTGAGTGCCGCCTGACTTGTTTTGAATCACGGAGATTTAAAGGCCCAGCAGCACAATAGCAGGAGCTAACTGGCAAATGCAATGGCCGGGCACGCTTTCCTTCCCTGCAGCTTTTAAGAGCAGACCGAGGGTACCGTTTTTTTGTGGAAGACGACCAGAACCAATAAACGCTCTCCTGAACCACGGCCTTCACCCTGACCTCCTTGCAGTCTGCGTTCAGCGATGGGGCCGGGAGCTGGGCACACGAACCTAACCGGTTCCTCCCAGCTCCCATCAAACCACAGCTGTTTATTCTTGGTTGCATCCACTGCCACCTGAATTATCTTCATTCCTCTAGTGTACTGCCTGTTTCTCTGGTTAGAATCCAGCCCCACGTATTGGGACCCCACGGCCCCAGGCAGCGGCCACCACACCGGCTTGTCCCCCACCCTCCAGCTCTATAGCTCTGAGGCAGAGCGACCGCGCCCCGAAACCTCTGGGTAAGGGTCTCTACGAGCCTCCACGCGTCCCCCGCCCGCCCAGCAGAGGCCCTAGCGTGGCCGGGGCCTCGCGTGCAGCGCTTACCCATCACCTGGACCCTGCAGATGGCGCACGTATCGCACTCCACGTCCCAGCTCCACATAGCCACCGCATTCCACTTCTTGAGAGAGAACATTTTGTCGCCTCCTGACTTGGAGCCTGCGCTCCCAGAGTGAGAGGACAGGGCGCAAGGCTCTTCGCCGTCTTCCACATCGGCCATATCGGAGACGTCGGCTACGGGAAGGCTGGTGGCTATGGCGGCTTGGTGGGACCGCCTGACAGGCCACAGCGCCGCCTGCAGGCCGCCAGCCAGGGCAGTGTCGACCATGGGGGCTGCCCGCGATTGGCTGGCGCGGGATCATGACGTCACCTAGCTGGCGCCGCGGGCCGTCCTTCCCACCCCGGTCCCTTCTGGAGCTCGGGTGACGGAGGAGGCTGAGGGCCTCAGGGGGCGGTGACCGGCTGAAGTGGGCCGCCGCGCTGTTGAGTGTTACTGTCGTGATTGCCGGCACTTTTTATGCAGGACCCACATGACCTGCTTTATGCCTTCATGAAGCTTACTCCTCTCAGAATTACCTTGTTAATATACTCGTTTGTCGTGCTTCCCAAATGTAAACTCCATAAGAGCAGGGACCTTGTGATTCAGCCATTCTCAAATGTTCTCAGAATACCTTTACACTTAAAAATTATGAGGCCCTGGCTGCTGTGGCTCAGTTGGGCGTCTTAAGTAAATGGAAAGGTTGTGGGGCTCAGTCCCCAGTGTGGCCGTAAGGGAGGTAACTCTCCTGTTACTCTCACCTTTCTCCCTCCCCCTCTAAAACCAATAAGCATGTCCTTAGGTGAATATAAAAAGATAAAAATAAGAAAATTATCAGGCCTTCAGCCTCTGCCAGGTATCTCAGTTGGTTAGAGCATGGGCCGCATACACTAAAGTTGTGGTTTCAATGCCTAGTCAAGGCACATACAAGAGTCAGCCAATGAATGCATCAATTAGTGGAATAACAACAAAAAAATCAATGTCTTTATCTCTCAAAAAAATTATTAGGAACTCCAAGAACTTTGGTTTGTGGAGGATCTATATTTGCTTTTTAAGATATTAAAGCTGAGGGAAAATTTTTACATGTATTAATTCATTTAAAAATTACAGTAATAAACCCTTTGCAAATGATCATTACAGCAATGACATCACATATCACATAGCTTCAGGGAAACACTGTACAGAGTGAAAAGGGAGAAATAGCTAAACTGTTATGCAAAAAGTTTTGCCCTCTGAAAGGACCCCAAGAACCCTGGGGATCACTCCTTGAAAGCTAGTTTAACCTCCTTTTATATGTGGGGGAAGGGAGTTCCAAGAAGTAACCAAGAGAGCACACTGCTACTGCAAGATGGTGAGTTTTGAAGCCAGGGTTTATGTATCGCTCGCTCAGGGTCATACAATTATATTTTGCCAAGCAAAGCAGACAGCATCTCCATTTAAAAAGTAAGAGGGCAGAGGCCCAGGGAGCTCAAGGAGTTGTGTGATGAGCACCGCCATCTGGGGGTGGATGCTTGCTGTGTCAGCATCGGTCTTTAGAGCCTCCCACCATGTACTGGGCCTCCTACCATCGTGGCTGGGTGGGGGCTAACCAAGTTCAAGGAGTCTGGCAGAAGAGTTGGATGCATAAATACATGCAAATATAAATATGCACACAGGGTCAGGTTTGACTAGATGCTAATGAGTGCAGTGTGTTAAGTGGCCTGTTAAATGCTTTGAGGAACAGAAATGTTCCTGTTGACTGATGCAGTGACAGAAAGCCTCACGGAAGAAGTGGGGTTTGAAGGGCAGCGGGGGGTGTGGGGGCGGTGACAGGGAGTACAAGGCCCTGGAGGCCAGGAAATGAGTGGAGAAAGCAAACCTCTCTGAGCTGTCAGCTGGAGCAGAGCAGTGGAAGTGGTGGCAGGCATGAGTCTGACCACACTAACTTTATGAGCCAGACCAAAATTCCTATAGACAAACTCAGATGAATCCTACACAGCACATGATCTGTTCATATTAAGTAACTACACATCTGACTAGAGATGACCGTAAATACTAGATAGCCAATTACAAAAAAAGAAGGCTGGAACCAGATGAGGGTAGAATGCACTCGGTTAGTAGGAGTTGGGCAGTTTGAAAGAGAAAAGGAGCGAAACTTAGATGAAAAGAATAAAGGATAAGAGAAGATGGTTAAGGACAAGAAATGGCACATGTCCATGCCAAGCCTGAACCTCATCACCCTGTCCCTGGACTATTGGTTCCTGACTTCCTCCCTGTCTCCCCTCCCCAGTCCAACTGGTATTCAGTCTAAAGTGCTGTTTAATTTTTCTATATCCTCTTTTCCACCTGGCACTGTCCAGCTCAAAATGTCCCACAGCTGTGAATTATCATCAGAACAAAATCTGAAGGTCCCAGTTGGTCCCTGACACAACATGGCCCGGATATACTTTTTTAAGTGTCATTCCCACGTGTGTCTCCTGAGACCCTTGTCAGATTGGTTTGCTCAGTCAACAAAACAACCTAAATTTTTTTCCTCACATTTTAACATTTCTAAAATTGAACAGAACTTCCCCCACCTGGTCTGGCTGGACTGCCCTCTGCACTTAGGAAAACTCACTTATCTTTGTGTCCTCACTGACTACTCTTTGTCACCATTTATTTATGTCCTCCCAGAAAGTTATAACAAAATTGTGTTTCTTCCATTCTTTTGGCACTGGGTCACATAGCAACCACAAAGTGCTATTACTCATGTTTATCAAACAATTTTAAGTTTTTTTCACTGACAACTCAAAAATGATAAAAACATTAAAATAAAACAAGCATGCAATAGACAAAAAGCAAGTACCATTAATAGACTGCCCAGAAATTCCTACATACATACAAGCCAAAGCATAAAGCAGCTTATTTTTAAAATTTTTAATTGTGGTAAAATACACATAGAATATAAGTTTACCATCCTAACTATTTTATTTATTTATTTATTTTATTGATTATGCCATTACAGTTGTTCTATTCCCCCCTTCATTCCCCTCCACCCTACCCCCTATCCCCACCATTACCCCCCTTTAGTTTATGACCATGTGTCTCAAGTTCTTTAGATTCTATATTTCCCGTGCTATTCTTGCCCCCCCCATCTATTCTCTATCTATTGTCTATGCTAATTATTTTCTGTACCTTCTCCCTCTTCTCCTCCTCCCACTCCCCTGTTGCTAACCCTCCTTGAGATCTTAATTTCTATGTTTCCACTCCTGATCTAGCTGTCCTTTTACTTTGCTTTTGTTTTAGGTGTGGTTGTTAATAACTGTGAGTTTGCTGTCTTTTCACTGTTCATGTTTTTTTAACTTCTTTTTCTTAGTTAAGTCCCTTTAACATTTCATATAATAAGGGCTTGGTGATGATGAACTTCTTGAATTTGATCTTATCTGAGAAGCACTTTATCTGTCCTTCCATTCTAAATGAAAGTTTTGCTGGATAGAGCAATCTTGGATGTAGGTCTTTGGATTTCATGACTTGGAATACCTCTTTCCAGCCCCTTCTTGCCTGTAAGGTCTCTTTTGAGAAATCCGCTGACAGTCTGATGGGAACTCCTTTGTAGGTGACTGTCCCCTTATTTCTTGCTGCTTCTAAGATTCTCTCCTTCATTTGAATCTTGGCTAATGTAATGATGATGTGCCTTGGTGTGTTCCTTCTTGGGTCCAACTTCTTTGGGACTCTCTGAGCTTCCTGGATTTCCTGGAAGTCTATTTCCTTTGCCAGATTGGGGAAATTCTCCTTTATTATTTGTTCATATAAGTTTTCCACTGGTGACTGTTCCTTTTCCCCTTCTGGTACCCCTATAATTCGGATGTTGGAGTGTTTCAAGATGTCCTGGAGGTTCCTAAGACTCTCCTCATTTTTTTGAATTCTTGCTTCTTGACTCTTTTCTGCTTGGCCATTATTTGCTTTCTTCCGGTCCACTCCATTGAGTCCCAGTTTCCTTTTCATCGCTATTGGTTTCCTGTGCAATTCCATTCATTTCAATTAGTTTCGCCTTCATATGTTTCTCTAATTTATGGCTATAATCAACCAGTTCTGTGAGGATCCTGATCACCAGTGTTTTAAACTGTGCATCTGAGAGTTTTGCTATTTCTTCATCACTTAGATTTATAGGCTCTGGGGCTTTGAGATCTTCTTGAGCCATTTTTGGTCTGTTCGCGCCTGTTAAGTATTCCATCCTAACTATTTTTAAGTACAGAGTTCAGTAGTACATTGATATTATTATGCAACCAATCTCCAGAACATTTTTATCTTCCAAAACTGAAACTTAGCACCATTAAACAATTCTCCATTTCTTCCTTCTCCTCTTGACAACCACCATTCTACATTCTGTTTCTGAGTGTGGCTATTCTTGTTATCACATGTAAATGGAATCATAGAGTATTTTTCTTTTTGTGACTGCTTATTTCACGTAACTTCTCAAAGTTTATCCACTTTGTAGCATGTGTCAATTTCCTTCCTATTTAAGACTGAATACTATTCTATTGTATGAATATTTGACAGTTTATCGGTTCATCTGTAGATGGCCATTTGGGTTGTTTCCACCATTTGCATATTGCAAATAGTGCTGTTATGAACACAGGTGTACAAATATCTCATGAGCCTGCTTTCAATTCTTTTGGATATATACCAAGAATTGGAATTGCTGGCTCATACCACATTGTTTAGTATTTCATATGAATTTTTCACATATACTGTTCTCTAGCCTGCTCTTTTGTTTAATAGTACTACTAGGACATCTTTCCATATCCATATTCTTTTTAGTGGCTGCATAGTATTCCACCACATACTTTTTCTGTGATTTATTTCCTTGAGAACAGTGCTGTAGCAAACATCTCATTACATATTTCTTTGCACATGTATAAGAGTGTATCTGTAAAATAAATTTCAGAAGTAGAATTCCTGGGTCAAAAGATGTATATTTTTTATTTTGATAGACATTGCCAAAAAAGACCTTTAAAGAGGAATATAGACTTTACACTCTCAACTGTGAATGTTAGTGGAACATTTCAAAAAGCTCTTTTTTTTTAAAGCAGAAACAATTTCTGCTTTAAAAAATGTGTGAGGCATCCTCACACATTGTATACATAAGTTCAGAAGATTTGTCATATTTTAGCTCTTATGCTGTATTGTTGTTTACTTTTAATGTATGAGGCTCTTATCTTCCTAGCTAAACGCTGAGATTCTCAAGGGTGGATACAATATATTACACTCCTCCCCACTTCCGCAGTTAGTTTGGT